TTGGCATTAACAACGTAAGAGGTACATACCTTGGTTAAATGAGGAATGAAAATACATGGAAACACTTACTAGACACAATAGGAATGGACCACAGGAAGYCCAGTAGGGTGGCTGTGTTCATGTTCTGTACACACTGAAAGCAAGGACACAACGTCAGTAACCTACTTTATAAAATGGATTGTTTTTGAAGGAAAGATGTCAAGTTTTCTAGWAAATATCACCGCTGCGAATAGACTCATTATTTAGCCTCTTAGTGAATCGTGTTAAAAAAACCTATCTACAGAGATTGTCGTGCGCTGACACAGTCCTTATCTGAGACAGTTTGTGTATCTTTTTAATTAAAAGTGACACGTTTTGCTCAGCCAGAACGATTGGTGCGATAGACTGACTCAAACCCATRCAGATGYGCGGCCGTCCATAGCGTCTTCATCGTCAATGAACATATTGAAAACGTTTCCATTTGATGATTCTAATCACACATTTTCTGTCGATTGTTGACTGGGACAATTAGAGCGGTTATATGGAAGCCATGGCTGTACAGCTTAACGTATGCATTTTGAACTGTTCGAGAAGACTTTGCGGTTCTTTACTGTTATGGAATTGAAGCTGATTTGGATGTACCTGTAGCAATTATTGCTAGAGAAATTCATTGCCAATGACTTAAGCCACTTGAAGAAAATCAAAGCGAAAACAAATTCCTCATGACATAATTTGAACAATTACGATGTGATGTTCTTTTGAGCTATCACTCGTGTCTCTTTTAGCAGTCTTGATGGGACTTTCGAATCAGATAGAACATTACGTTATGTTGAACTGTGAAAACTAGATTCATTCAATGATTTGCAGTTTACCAGTTAAGAAATTTACCAGTTAAGGGCATTTGGAATTCCTGAACATCAGGAAACAAAAGACAACAATCAAATGTAAAATTACGAGAACTGAACTCGGATAACCGTTGTATTGATATTCTAAGTACTMATTAGCATTGTAGGGTATACAAAAAGCAGTTCTCTAGCTATATAGTGAAGACATAACAAGTCCTTCCAAGACCAGTTTTCACGTGTGAAATGGTACTAGCAATAAGTAATATAATATTGCACATACAATACAATGCATTACTGCTATTTTAGAATAAAACACTAAACATTCTGACATACTGTAGCTAGTGCTAAACATCMCAATACCTTGGGAGTAATTCGGCTGTCACTAAGCTACCATCCATTGAACGCCGCTATGGAGGCACAGTCKTTAAGTCARTGTCGTCCGTAAATCCATCGATTAAGCCAATTAAACGTGGCGGTTAAAAACCTTTTTGTCACCTCTGCAAGTCCCCATGATGGTGGCGTACTTAGACTCTAAAGTTAMAACTATAAGCTGGAAAAATAAAAGATAAGGYACTTTACTTTGACGCGCGTGGTGGTGAAGAACTGTTAAACTCTGTTAAATGTATAAATAATTCATAGAGACGAATGCCACGAGCGGATTTCAATTCAAAGTGACCTCGAAAAAACATATTTAAACAAAGTACTTTACACAGTGTCAAAATATCACCTAATTAGATATCTAAAAGTACAATTATAGTTTGGTTTTAGAATAGGATATACATGTATATGGCATTTTAGGCGGTCTGGTTGATGGCCAAGTACATTTGTAAGAAAATATTTCGAATCGTACTAATTCATAACGATCACGATGTTTGACGAAAAAAAAAGTGGAAAAAATGAATTGAACTTTTAGGCCTATTACCAAAGAACTCATTTTCAAAAMACAATTCTTGCACTTTACTTATAAATGCCAGCGCAAAGTCTTTTAGGTCAACCAATAGTTAATATTAACTATTTCAAACTAATTGACAATATGTTAAAGATCTCGTTGAGTGCTACCTGCTTGATCTTAGTGACCCTTATCATTAAATGACCTTAAACATGTGGGACATCAAAGCTAACAGGTGCCAAGAAACTGTATTTACCACGCATGTCAMGTGATTAGTCAATATTTCGCACTTKATAGAATTGGAGTGGACTGGGTACTAAATATACTCGTCCCAGTCCCCTGCACTGTAAAAACTGTTCGTCTTTCTTATAGGTATAGCAAAGTAAGGAAACAAAGATGCCTTATGTGGTAAGATAGCCAATATAGTAGAACAGTAATAAATAAGTACGATTCATTGACGCTAATCATTGTCTAGGAGGTCACTGTATGTATACCTACTTACTGAATGATGATGATGACACCGATGAAATGTGGTAGACATGGTAACGACGAAATGTTAATGACAGTTCAGTGTGGAGGCGATGAACAATAGTGGTATCTTACCCAATCACGACAGTGATGAAGATAGATGGTATGGAAAACAATTCTAAATAAGGTGTTGATGATTACGATGGTGACAATGACAATGATAGTGTAGTCATGTCTCAAAGTTAAATAGCTCAATAATAACAGTGTTCTAAAAAATCAGAAAAGCTACTAAAATTTATGACCATATACCATACACTAAGACATCCCCGCTTTTTCAAACAGGTTAAAAGGTTGGTGTTCATCCTCTGATATAATACACCACTAGCAAAGGTTACGCTTTGGATTTTAAAAAGCTGAGAAATACCATCTCAAGGCTTTAAAAGTGTTTTGTCAAGCTACTCATGGCTTCTATAGATTTAGATTTAACAATAATAAACTGAGCCAGAAATAAACACTTTCTCTGATATGTTTTCGAGTTAAAGGGCGTTCCCCTATAACGGTAGATTATAATATATTTATAACTTGAATAGCTGGAGGTTAAGCTATAGTCTGTGCGCTGTGGTCAATAATTCTAAAACCTGTTTCTCCGAGGAAAAGCTGAGTTTGGTGTAAGGCTTTGTCGAGGTATAACAAATAATTACATAATCAATTAGACTARATGATCAATACTTAGGGATTTGAAGTGCGAAACAATTATTTCAAGTAGGTAGACTATCAAATCAAGTGGTTTGTTGATAGGTCATTGATATATCACGATTGTAACTTGTTCTTTCTCATTTTCATATACGAACTTTCCTTGACATATTTAAGCCAAGAAGAAAATTCTAATTAAGTTTGCAAACAAGACTCGGTTAAACCTAAACGGAGACAATAACGTGGGAAAAAATTACCGACAATGACATGGGGAAAAATTATTGACACAACAAAAATGCAAAAAAAAAGATAGATGGAAAAAAGAACTGATTTTTCACATTTTTAATCTATATTTCCACTTTTTCAGTTGGGCTCAGGACCAAGGTCAGTCTGAGACATCAGAAAGTTTTACCTTTATTTTACGTTTTATAAGAACTGTCAATGACAGAACATGAAACATGGATATCTCCACGCCATTACTATAGCTCTAGTACTCTCTCAATTTAAATAATCTGGGAGCACTAGACATTTTTGTTTATAGTTTTAAAAGTACATGGATTTTATCGATGAGAAAATAGTTTCATTAGCAATAAACTGAATAGGAAATTGTTGATAAAAAATTAAATAGGTTGAGTAAGGTAAAAAGGGGTTCTATCATAAAATATCATAAAATCAACTACAGTTTTACAAAAATAATATCGAGAGAGAAAAGTTATTGTGTAGACGTAAGTTGTTTGTTCTATAAATTAAGAATAGAGTCAACGTCCGATATAGTTTCAATAATTCAGAAACGCGGTTTTTCTTCTTTTTTATTTAATCTTTATCCTATTAATTCTGTTTTTTTCATTGCTTTCCATCGTTTTTTGRTAATTCCATTAAAAAAACTAGAATAATGCTAAAGCTTTTTGAGCGATTAAATGAGGCTTTAGACACTAGTGCGCGACGACGGAGGACTATGGATTAGACAGGTTCCATGAATACATCAGTGATGGTAAAAGAAGTCAGGCGATCAAAAGCCCTCGTCTTAGCAAATTTACCATTAAAGACAAAAACTAATATCTTGACATGTGCTCAGCTCTAACATTCTAGATTTATGTGAAACTACAATCATGAAGGCCATGTTTACAAGGGATAGGGTGCCGCCTAAGTAGTGAAGCCAAACTGTTTTGTTTTAAGCGCTCCAGGGAAAACAGTTTGTCTCTTCTACCTAGGGAGGCCATATCTCGTGTAAACTGGGTCTAAAGCAGTATGGAAAATTTGACTGTATTCATGACATTTTGAATGGTCATCAGGTAAACCATGCTGAGCCGGTTCATTGTATTCGGTTGCATTTTAGTCTTTGGTAAGTGATATCCAAACTCTAGGAGTTACTCCATCACCATTGATTGATTGGTTGATTGATTGATTGACAGATAAATTTACCGATCGGATGACTGATTGACAGATTGATTGGTCGACTGGTTGATTGACTGACATATTGATTGTCTGACTGGAGGAGAGAAAGATTTGTTGATTGGCTGATTGAATAACAGACTGACGGACAGATTACTGTCTGCCTGATTGATTGATAGAATGTTTAATTGTGTGATTTATCAGCTTCTTGACTAAATGATAGAATTGTGGTCGATTGATCGATTGCTGGGTTGATTGATTTATTAATAGGATGATATGATGCAGCGATGATTCTGATGATATTAATGATATTAATGATTGTTTGTGATCTAGTCAAATCTCAACATGTTCAGTACAAAGTGACGATATCTTCAGATGATGAGTTCAACCCTGACGATCGGGTCTCTGTTGCTATCTATGGGCAGGCAAAACAAACTGATCACAAGGAATTACAAGGAATCTATGACAAATTCAATGGACACAAGTGAGAATACCTTGATYTCGATATTATTATGGATTTAAAAAACACTAATGATAATGATAGAGCCTACAAGCTAAGTTTTCAGCCATCGGAACTAAATAGTGCGCGCCCCGCCTTACTCTAGTTAACATCAAAACCAACAGGCGAGCTGTCAAATAACAAGCAAGCTAGCAATTAAACAAGCTACAAGCCTAGCCTCCTCCCCAGCCAGAGCTACCTTCGTAGCGGTCATATTGACCGCTCTCCTCTCTCGCTCCCTTTCTCCGTCTTCTGTCTGGAAGCAGATATAAGATACATTTTTTCTTACCAATTATTATGCCTGCTCTTTTTCTTTGCAGCGAAGCCACCTTTGTTGTATCTGCTCAAGATGTCGGCCCTATAAAACAAATGAAAATCAAAAGAGTTCCGAATGGTCCAAAGGAAGACTGGCATGTSCAAAAGGTAGCAATGAGACCAATCCTTTCTTCCCTTCTACAAATAAAACACGCTAAACCACCCCCATTAATTTAAGACACGAGTGAAATAATAACATTAACAACAACAGCAGCGACAACATTAACAACAGCAACAAAAACGACAACAACAACTATAACAGCAACAACTATAACAACAACATCAAGAATAACAAGAGCAACAAGAACCGCAACAATTATAACAACAACAACAACAGTAGCAAGCAACAAAACGTTATTTTGTTCAGGTGACTTGAAAATTGTTTTTAGTGGTTGAAAGCATATGATATATTATTGATGTGCAATAATAAAGGTTATGGAACTGTTTTACAGATCACGATACGCGATCCAAAAGGGAACACTTATGAATTCATGTGTAAGTGCGTTCTATCAAAACAAAAAGGACCCGAGGTAACCACCACGCCAATCAACATTATCAAAGCAGCTCAAGAAGCACCAAGTCCAACAGAAACCTCTCCTTCACCATCAACACCATCACCTTCCACCAACAAACCTACCGCTGGAGTAGGGTCATCCAGTCCACCATCTGAACAACCGACCGGCAAAAAAGAAACGACCTCGAAACCGACCAACGAGCCTACTGAAAATCCCGGAGCTACAAAAGAAACCAGTCCAACGGCTGGCGCGACNGTCATCACAAGAACCGACCTCCCAACTGAAAACGTCCCCTACAGTTGCTTCTAGTTCATCCACTAAGACAAAAGGTGCGACATCTGAACCAAGTACCTCATCAATGCCTGGATCTTCACATGGAAGCAGCAAGAAAACCAAACCAACTGACTCGGGTATCTCAGCTTCTCCTTGGCATAAGCCAACATCTGCAAGCAAATCAAACCCTACCACCCCTGTAGGTTCCACCAGTGGGAGTAGTAGTACCAGCATCTCACCAGGATCTACAGAGGGAAAACCATCACCCGCAGTAAAAGTTACTACAGGTACTACTACTGGCAAATTACCATCAAAAATACCTGTTGCCTCACATCCTACAAAAGGACCTACTGAGGTATCTGGAAAACCCAGTGAAGTAACTGGAGGGCCTAGTAAAGGAAYTGGAAAGCCCACTGAAGAAACTGTAAAACCCACTGAAGGTACAATGAACTTGTTACGACCACCCATCCATGCATCCATTTATCATTCCATCCCATTTATCACTCCCTGGCATCCATCCATCACTCAATCGCATCCACCCATCCATCTCTTCAAACTTTCATTAATATACTTAAAATACAATGATTTTGGTCATAAAAGAGAAGCCAAATAATTCAACTGAGCATACAATGATCCCCTAATTGACCAACCTATCCATCTATCAGTCCATCCCATCCACCCATCAATATAACTCTATTCCACCCACCCATCCATTTATCACTCCATCATATTTATAATTCATTTATAAATTTATATCTCGCGAAGTAAGTGACACTATGAATATCTGAAATGTTACAGGCCTACAACCAACTGAAACTTCGCAAGGACAATCAACAGCATCTCCCACGAATASCGCCAGTAATACTAAGGCAAGTTCAACCAGCACTCCAAATRAAAACTCACCCAGCACACTTCCACCATCAAGACAACCGACAGCCACAGARGTAGYTGGYTCGACTGCCGCGTCGAATGCTACACCGACAACACCACCAAGTGAACCACCGTCAATCAAAACTCCTTCAATTGGTGAGTTACTTGGTCTAACACCACAACAACAAAAGGCTGCACAATTAGAAAACTTGTCTCYAAATGTTACAAAGGAAGGTATGAAAAAAGTGATCGTCAATAACAGAAAGCATTCACCATCTATCATTGYACGCTTAAGGCACAGCTACCTTTCATGATGGCGCAGGGAAGTGTGAAGGAGAACTATTAAAACACTTCAAAACATCATTATTTTGTAGAGAAATAACTTCGCTTTTTCCATATAGCGGCTAAAGCCATTGGCCAGATGAATCAGATGTTAAGAAAGGGTCAATACAAAATTAGGATCAAGTCACAAGACGATTTCAATCCCGATGATGTCATATCCATACAGTTTCAAGGAAAAGACGGCATTAAGACGGACTTCMAACCTTTGCCGGATATCTTTAAGAAATTCCAAGGAAAAAAGTAAGATATAGTTGTGCTATRTATTGTAAATATTGATTTGATATTTGTATTCAAAATCATTCATGTAATATAACGATGTCTCCACGATGTCTTCTTAACTCGAGGATTTAAATCGATATGTTAATAGCGCTCCCTCTCTCACTCACTCKGTCAGATTACTGTGAACGTCTTGATTAAATTTTGCATTGGTCATACTGRATATAATCACTTCATATCATCAAACTACAGGCTTTGGTGGGCGGACACACTTTCTTGGATATCCCAACCTTTATCTACTTTCTTTCTTCATCTTTTCATTTCTTTTTTTATTTCTATGCATCTACTTTCTCTCTTCATTTTCTCATTTCTATTCTTTTCCATTTTTTTGAATTTATAGTCAAGTTGACTACGACATCACAGCAAAAGATGTCGGCGTGATTGACAAGATTTCAATCAAACGAATTGTGAATGGAGAGAAAAAGGACTGGTATGTCCATAAGGTGAGTGCAAACTGTTGGATCAATGAATATAAAAGATGATGATATGATCAATAGTTTGTTCTATTTAGATTATAGTCAGGGACCTTCACAGTAAGATCTACGAGTTCTTGTGCAAGTGTACATTAGTTAAAGATACTGGTGTGCTTGTTACTGATTCCCCAGCAAACACTATTGACTTTAACAAAGCCGGAGGTAAGAACCATATCATAAGTCATACAATAGACATATGGGATTACGTAATATTTATCAGGGGAGGGGGGGACATGAGAATCCTGAGCAGGGGGAGGCAATCTCTAATTTTATGTGCTAAAAGAGAGGGTGCAACGTCTAAAATAAACTAGAACTTTAATTGGGAACTGAAAAATCAACGGTGTCAGATTCTCAAGAAGAGCGTGACACGATTTGCGACAACTTTTTATTCTCGAATAAAAAAATAAATAAATTCACGGGGGGAAGGGTGCAGAGCGAAATTTATTTCGATTGCGAGGGGGTGGGGAGGAATTAACTTTTTTTGATTTTTTGTCTCATTACTCAACCCCCCCCCCTCCCCCTCCTGATAAAAAAATATTGCCCAGTCCCTAACCAGCATTATCTATCCAAGAACATCATCGTTTAGATTTTTACATTTTTTACTACAATCTTAGGTAAACTGCCTTCAACTATTCCAACAGTTGGRACAGACCAACCAASCGCCCCACCAACTGGACAAGATAATCYAGGAAATGCTTCAGGTATTAATGATTTGATTACCTTCACTCTTCTGGGCTTCCTTACTTTACTTTGGTAGAGTGAGACTGGTATTGCAGCTGTTTTCACTATCATTTTATAACTTTTTTTTACTTTCAGTGCGGCGACACAGGTTTCGTAAAAGGCCTATGATGAAAGGAGTTCTTAGAAATCGTATATATGGCTGAACGAAGAAGAAAAGTGCTTGAAACACATAATAAAACACAAATAGATAAAAATAATACTGAACTTTATATAATAATGGAAYCTACGTTTTTTTCTAATTTACCGCCCATATACCTCATTGGTAATTGACAATCACATAATACTTGAGTGGTAATTATGATTATAATAAATAGCGATAATAAGGATAAAAAAGTCATGATAATATACTAACAATGATAGTAAAAAGATAATAGTAATAATGATTATAATAATGACGATACCGATGATAGTGAYGATGATAATGATGATGATAACGATAATGATAACAAAATAATGGTAATGCTATTGTAAACAACATAGCCTAGGTTAGGAACCTGCCTTGTAATTATTTGCACAAATGAAGAACAAACTAAAAGATACCATAATAATAACAATGATTATCATAAACTTAATGRTAATWATTATAAATATAATAAAAASGYAAGGATAGCAATAATATAATTCTAATAAYAGCAATARCKATAGTAACTGAATTAGRCTAYTGGTAGTGCAGACTTTGCRAAATGTGTTATGTGGAATAAAGGTTAATTAAAACATTGTGAGTCAATTGCTTTAGTAATAATACAAACTAACTAGTCAATGGGACAATAAAAAGACGYRACGGACYGGTAACTGACCAATAAACAAGCCAGGCCAATATTTGGTACAATTACTACAMCAAAATAACTTTATTAGAAACTATAGAAACTAAAACCATCACTTGGTGTTTTTTTTGCATGAATTGCAATTTTATACACGTACTTGTGGAGTTCCTGTGGTACATGATCAAATGTAGAAAATATGATCTTATACTGATCTATCATCGATATGATTACATGGGATTCSTGTGGTACTATCTATCTATCTTTGGGTTTCCTGTGGTAACGTAGAGGTTGTGATCTAATACAACCTGCCGAGCAGACTGGTGCTATACTATCTCCTTTATTGGCCTATATTCCATAAAGAATACACCACAAGAAACAAAGATTCAATCATTCTAAGAAAAGACCAAGAAAAAGTTATTCTTGAACTTGAACAAAAAATTTCCTTTACAAGTCATTACGATAAAAAATGTACCCCTAGTTCAAAGTTTTATCACCAAAAAGTAAGCTCATTATAAACGTTTTTTCATAAGTAGTGGTAGGTGGCCCACGGTACCTGTTGATGAGTGTTAATAAATTTATGGAATTTTGTCTAAAGCTTTCAAGTGGGTCAAAATATCTTCAGAGGAGCGACCGGTGGTGTCATCCTCAGAGAGCCAAAAACTGTTTACTATTTGACTTGTCCAGTCCATCCTCGCCGCAGATACACCCACAAATACACATTACAAAAGGGTTTTTTTGCAAGGTATGTAAAAATAGCAATTTTTTGGGAGGAGAAAAACGCATGTACTTAACCGAGTGTGTAATGGCAAACGGTACGTTGACAAGTGGGTTCGAGAGTATAACTAATATTTCATGTCCTAAATTACGAGTTTTTGCACCTCTTGAGTGTTTAAAAGCCATGTAGTAACATCACAATGGGATTTTTAAGAAGAAACAAAAAGTCAATCAAAATTGAACAAAAAAGGGAATATGGTACGGAAAAGTGAAGTATTGATCATATAATCTGACAATAATGATTGTCATATACCTAGAAGTTATACTAATAGGAATAAGGATTATATTGATGATAATAATGCTACTTTATTCATTTTCTTTAGGGTTGTATACTATGTATTTTGTAGAAATTTTACTTTTGTCAACACTTAATTGGGTTGAACTTCGTATTTAAACGATGACATAGCTTAATTGATAGAAGTGTTCACGGCAATAACAATTTTGAAAAAGAAAAAAAAGAAAACAAAAATGAGAAAAAGATGAATTCACGACGAAATTTTATGCGATTTTGATTARTATAACATCGGCATTTCATAAATATATATATTTTCATTGTTATTCATTTCCGTTGGAATCATTTTTGAACAAATTGTACATAACTTTTATGAGACCAAATACCTATAATTAAGCATTGCCTGATAACATTATTGCCTAAGATACGCATTTTTCTGTTATACTCCAGCAAACGCTGTTCGACTGGTAACTTTTAGATTTCACCAACAAACATTGTGAAAAAGTCGAGAAGGTTCATGAAACATTCTACATATTAAATGACAATAGAACGACGAAAAAAGACTAATATTTTGTGTAGGCTAATCTTTAGTTCATCTATTTTATGGAAGTATGTGAATTGATAAGAGTATTTGATTGATGAGGACACGATTTATTGATACTCTAGCAGGTCATAAACATACAAAGATTTAGGTCACAGAATGGGAGTGTTCTAAGTCTATTAAAACAGAACACAGTTGTCCTTGCTTCATAAAATCTTTTTGTTTCATCACATTAAAAGTTTTCTATCATAAACTTTAGTTTAGAGTCTAACCTGATAATTATCGAAACATAAACATATGACGCAACTAAAGAAAAATGCTTGATCACAAATCAGCGGGGAAACAAGAATACCTGTAAATGAGAAGATTAAAGATTACCCGATCAACAGAACTGTAACGACTCTTGATGATTTGCTCTCCAAGAAAATTTAAAARTTTGAAAATTTATATTAATACATAATATTTCCTAATACGTAAACATCTATATCGATATTTGGAATTATGGTTATAGTTGATATTATGGGCTGTACTGGTTGAATAGCTATTATTACTCAACCCTCAAAGATCTAGCCAGAGTTCGAGCCCAATCGGTCATTTGCTTGATAATTTGCTTGATAATCTCATATTGTCGTGGGGTTCTCCACCAGGTAAACGGGCTCTCCTCCCACAACAAGCATTGATTTGAATGATGTTTATCACTAATTAATGTTTTAACTATAGGTGAACAATGACTGGGCGTCTATCTGGTTTAGTCGGATGTCTGCTGATCATTGGTAAAATGGAATATTCTTATTGAGCTAATTTGTAAAATTCCAATGTGCATAACCTTTGCGCGAATTTCGCATATAACAGAAATCGTCATCTTTGACTATACCACGAACATCTACTTCCCATGAAGTCACCGTTATTATGATTATATCACATGCACAATGAATAGTATGAATAACTAAATGCACACTCTTTACAAGTATGTTGGTTATTTTTAGCTTGTGTGGAAGCAATACCACGAAGAACGTACAAAGTAACCGTTAAGACAAGTTCTGGACTAGACGCCGGCTCTGCGCCTCATGATAGAGTATTCATCAAGTTATATGGTGATAAACATACTACTGATTTTAAAGAACTCAAGGGGGACATGAATGCTTTTCAAAGAAACACGTACGTAGGAAATTATAAATTACGTTATTCGAGCAATAAACCAATCAACTAACCAATCAACATACAAACTGGTAAAAATCAATCAACCAACCAACTAATACGATAAAATATGAAATAAAAMAAAGACTTGTCCACAATTCTAATATTTCATGTTTTGAACAGAGTGACAACGTTTGCCATCGATGCTCTAGATGTTGGAAAAATCAAAAACTTTGAAATCAAGAAGACTGCGATGGGTAAAGAGGACAAATGGAACCTTAAAGAGGTAAAATAACATGTCATTCTAAGATTGGTTTGTGTCTTTCTACCTTTATCCTGATGATAATGACGATAAAAATCACGGATAATGCCGCAACCTAATGGTCAATGTCTATGAAAATGATTAGAGCGGATTTCGTATGAGTGGTAAACGGACGGTACTGTGACCGTAGTCGTACTGTAACCAAATTCTAGTRCCCCATTGGTTCACCAAAATTGTGCAGGCCAGGTCCGGTAACTGTGCGGTAACCGTGCGGTAACGGTGTCCCACTCATACGAAATCCGCTCTAGAGCAATAATAATAACAAGAGTCTTTGTATTTTCATAATGACTGACTACGATCGTTATTGATATACCAGCTCACAGTAGAAGACCCTGATGGTAATATGTACGAGGCGTTCTGTAAGTGTTGGTTGTCTCCAGAGCARGGTTTGGTGAAATCACTRACTCCAACAAGTGTCACGCACAAAAAGACTTTAAATGACGGTGAGATACTCCTCGCGCAGCCYAACTAAACCCRCCCKTGTTTAAGTAAAGATAGCAATAATRAATCCTATTTTATTTGAAGAGATCTCACCAACAAAGGGGCCGGATAGTTCCCCAGTACCTGAGGATGTTGGAGATAACGAAGGTTTTTCTGGCCCTACACCACGTATACATGGAGATAACGGCACTGTGACTACAACAAGTGGAAATGGGACTACACCGACTGGAAATGGAAATACACCGACTGGAAATGGGACTACACCGACTGGAAATGGGACTACACCTTCTGGAAATGGAACTACACCTACTGGAAATGGGAGTACGCCCACCGGAAACGTTTCTCCGCCCGTAGACTCAAACGGTATGGACTTTTTATATGTCTATTTCTGACAGGTTGTCAGAAGTAGTGGACAATCCGTCTTCAAGTTAGCTGTAACGACGTCTTTCGCGCATGTTGTCGAAGCATTAGGCATTTCGATAACATGGGAGAGTCAGTCGCGTCAAACAGTGTTTAATACAAGTTTAAATTACCTACTTAGATATTTCATATAATTTTACTGAAACCTTTAATTGTTTATTTTCACATATATGTTAATCATATCCAGCGAATTTTAATCGACTTCAACTATATTCCACAGCACTAGCCAAAGAAATTCTTTATTACATGAATGCCCTTCGATTGAATCATCTGGCTGGTCCACTGATTAAGGAAAAAAATATGTCTGACATCGCTGAAAA